CATGGGCCTTTGGTGAAACTGAAACCTCTTTGCGCTTTGATGCTATTTTGCTCGACTATTGCAAAGTCAATAAGACACTATTAGCACAGATACATCACTAAAAACGATGAAGCGACAAAAGGCGCATCTTTCGTGGCGATGCATTCACTGTGCCGGTGGCAAGGCCACTTCTACAATTCGTTCATTCGTTTCAGTAAAAAAATTGATACCGGAATATGCCAAGGAGTCACATCAGCTATCGGCATGCTCCGAATTAACCCTCGGAAGGGGAAATCATCAGAGCCTTGTCAGCGGGTGGATACTATCGGCACTTGCCATCGCTCGAGCCATCTCTCGTCTCCCATAAAGAGCGATTACAAAAGGACTCTGACTTTTGGCTAAAAAATAAACGTTAGACCCTCATGCGAGTAAAATTCGGTTCTCCTATTGGACTCCATGAGCGGGATTGACTGGGTGCAACCCTGTGACACACGTAAAAGTAATCACATAAGGCAAACAGTTTACGTTTCGTCCCTTTGCTATAAACACAGATAAAGCAGCAGTCTGATCTTCCAAGGCAGAATGATAATTGTTAGGCCGGAAGAATTTAAAAAATTCAATAATTTCAACTGTTCAGAAATTCGGTTCAGCACCAAAAAATCAGATTTCATTAGATTTTCTCGAACCACTCTCATTTTCAAAAAATTTTTTTGAGTCATAGTCTGAACCACATGCCCTGTATGCCTGGTGTTGATCTGACTTTCTCCGTCGCTATCACCAATGTAACGGTCACCCAACATTGCGGCATTCTTTTTTGCCCATTCATTGATCATTTGAACTATCGTGCCATAGCCGACTTCATCCACCAGGCTTGCATTGGGACGGCGTGCTGATGCTACACGTGATATTGGATCTGCTATTGACTACAGCACATGAATAATGAATGATTTGATCAAAATGAATAGAGAATAATTCAAAACGCTAAATAAACAACGCGCTTTCACGATGAACTGTTGCAGGCTCAGCTTACACTCTCTGAATGCGACAAAAACCACACAGATATCCTTTTTGCTTGACGATGGGTTTTTTTGACCCTATTCGTCGTATGGTAACCTAGCAAACTCTAATATATACATGAAAGTCCTAAAATTTTTGGAATTGAAAACTATTATTTGGAATATTTTTAGGAAAACTCCCGAAACTTCTGGGGATATGTATGCCGAAAATTTGTTTTGCAGTCGAGAATCTGAAAACTAGCTATAGAGAATTTTGATTTCGGGTTCAAAATCTTTCACATCACGCAGATTTCGCTCGAAGAATTTTGCCTTTCTAGCTTCGCGATTCCTGTGCTAAAATATTTGAAAGACACACGGACACACATGGACAGTCTCATCCAAACACGCCGACACATACAGAAACGTCCAAGACGGTCGCGTTTTGAAACGTTTTTTTTTTTTTTACAACGCTGATGTAGCACTGAATGCAAAAAAGTATAAAAATTATAAACCCAGTAATCGTGATCCTCATTTGTGGCATGCTTTGGTTCCAGTGTGTCGCCGCCACCAACGTGCTTGTGTCGCCACCGACTGCAGTCAAACACGGAGAGCAGAGGCTGAAAAGTTTGCAGTAGGATGCAACAGCCATTCGGAAATAACCATTCATTTGTATCATCCTCTACATCAATTTTAACAACTTTTTCTAACATAGTAATAATTGGAACAAAATCAGCTATAATTCATAATCAGCTCCCCCATCTATGTACCCAGCAACCTTTCCAGTTGCTCTAACCAATGCTGCGTCGTGTCGTGGTCAGCTTGCTGCTGAAAAATTTCGTCTTCTGCAGAAACTACCGGCTAAGCGTCCCTTCGACAAAAGTCCTTGGTAGGGTTTTAACAGTTTCGAGTTGCCCCTGGTGTGTGTTTTCAACATGGTGCGGTACCAGTATTTGGGCACAATAAGGCAATTCAGCGGCTAGGAGAATGTAAAAAGTATATTAAAAGAAGAAAGTTAATAAATGAAAGTGTACCATATGATTTCGCCAGGCATCGTAGAGCGTGCTAAGTGCTGCAAATGGAACAACAAGCAGTGGTCCGACCATTGTCAACCACGCAACCAATTCATAGCGCAAGGGTAATGGATAATCCTCCAGTGTTACACGTTCGTAGCTAAACAACGAAGCGATCATCAAGAACTGAAACACAACCAATGTTATTACTAGAATAGCTCAGGATATGCGCATCGTTTCTTCCACAGAAGTGCACTAATTAAACCCAGGCTGAAGCGCACAGGGCGGGCTCGTGCGATCATGCGTTTTTGCACCGGATTTGAATTACACAGGTCATTAACTGAATAAATGGCTGTTGCTTTAAACCCACCTTTTGCGGTCACTAGCATAAATCACCATAAATTTTGCAAAGTAAATGTACAATTTCCATTTAACGGTCGTTATTTAAAAGTAACCCAGTTGTTCAGTGAAAAATTTTCCGTCAAGACTTTTAAGTGTTCGTATTTAAGAACCACGCAAACCTCAAGGCTGAATTTGAAACACTTAAGTTGTATATGGACAGGGAACATCCTCTCAAAATTTCAGCTTTCTAGCTTTTCTAGTTACTGAGTTAGCAATTTTCCCGCCACATACCCGTACTTGGGTAAAACCTCGACATACCCGTACCTGGATACTCGGCGTGCTTGGAGAGCGGAATTTGAAATTTTTAAACTGCACGTGGATAGGGAACACCCGCCCAAAATTCCAGCCTCCTAGCTCTCCTGGTTACCGAGTTAGTAATTTCCCGCAGAAAATTTTATACGTCCTTACGTGAGTACCATGCATAGCTTGAGGCTGAATTTGAAATATTTGAGTGTACTTGAATAGGGAACATTCCTCCAAAATTTCAGCTTTCTAACTTTCCTAGTACCTGAGTTAGCAATTTTCCCCCTAAAACTTTCATGCGCCCTTAAGTGAGCACTACGCATACCTAGGGGCTGAATTTGAAATCTTCAGCAAGTACATGAACAGGGAATATTCCTACAAAGTTTCAGCCTTTTAGCTC